TTTTATTTCAGACGAAGGGGTCTCGGTGCTGTTTGCCCCCACACTCATTTCAGAAGCCTGTATAAATCTTCCCCCACGTGGGAATCATTTTGAACATATTGAATAATGATTTTTCTATGTCTCTGCCACTTTGATGTAGCCTCTGAGGAGGAAGAACTATCCTGGATAGACCATTTGGTCATGTTTTAACAATTTGAGGATAACTTCAAAATTCCTCAGTAAAATGTAAGGTAAAAAAAAAAAAAAAAAAAAGAACACCAGAATTAAGTTCAGTTGATGAGGCCCCATCCCCCCAAATTATAAAGTAGAAACTTTTTGAACATATACTTTAAATTCACAATTCGTTTCTAATTTTAAAGCTGTATTTTATCATTTGATTAATTGCTTAAAACTGTACACAAAGATAAAGGGAACTTTGAAATTCATACCTTGGAGTATTAACATGTACTCAGGACTAGATGTAAAATGTCAGAGAGAAAAAAGATCTAATGAACTCTTTATTGGTGAAATACAGTATTGCAGCTGCCCAGAATTTTAAAAGGTTTGTAGCCAGCTCCAAAGCCAAATAACTACAGAAGTTTACTTACAGCAGGACTCTCATTCAGCATTTCCAATCTCTTCTTCCAGGGTTCTTTTAACATTAATAAAATGTCCAGAGAAAAAATAATAAAAGAAAAAAAAGTGCAACCGCAGAAGAAATTTTCTGTCTAGAAAATTACACTACCATAAGTTTTCCTTTTCCCTGATGTCTTTTCTGCCATAATAATGGTTTCAGGATTTAAATCCTTTGCTGCTATTGTGACTTCAAAGCCTTAAAACTGCAATTGAATGAAGTAGTTCATCTGTCATTATTCAAATATGAAGCAATTATGATGAAATAAAGATAGAATTCCATTGAGAAATACCCCAATCAATTCTCACTTATATTTAACTAGAAACATAAAACGATACTTAGAAGAGTAAGTTTAGGAAATAAAAACTCGGGATATAAAAAGTATGAATTACTGATCTATAACTTACTCATTTCTGAATAAGCTGTCTAAATATATTTCACAAATATTGACAAAAGTTTAAGCTTACGATGCAGAACTGTCTCTCAGCTGGTCTCAGAGAGTGAGCAGCTTTTCAGAAATATATTTGCACCAGCTTCAGTGCCCAGAGGTTCAGCTGAGAACCTGCAGAGGTTTTGGGGGGTCTCTGGGCAGGACAGCTCCCTGTGAAGTATGTTTTATACACACTTTATACGGGAAATAACACACCTACCTCACCATGGCTTCATTATAATAGTGAACAAGGCAGTGCTGGGTGAGTGGTTGGACTCAATGGTCTTGGAGCTCTTTTAAAACCTCAGCGATTCTGTGACTCAGGGAAAGGTATTAAAATAAAATATTGATGTGGCTGCTTTGATGTCAACGCATCCTGTCAGGCCCCTCTGTGGATTTAGCCCCAAAATGTTTCTCTTCACCTTTTTGATCCCAACTAAAGCCCATCCCTACCCCAGGGGCTGGAATTTCGCAGGGAATTCCCACTGTACCCAGTGTTATTTATTTTGTTTTAGTATCCTCCATCATTTCTTGCATCTTTCATGCTTAATCTACCAATGTATAATAATTTGCTGGTAAATTGAAATCAAGGTGGGTACTGTCAGACAATGACTTTTTTGGGATTTAAGGTCTTCAAAGGAGCCACATCCTTCCCACTCTCAGTAATGCCACAAGCTCAGATGAAAAAATAACTGTGCCATGCCTTTTCCTTCCATCAGACTATGTTGTTCTTCTGGAAGACAAAGGCAGCCTCTGCTGCTTGTGAAGGGAGACTTTGCCTTGTCTTTGGTGTTCCCATGGCAGAACAGGGTTAAAAATGCACAGATGGATCCCATAGTATTTCTTCCTCATATTTTCAACAATTGCAGTGAGCTTAAGAGTTCTGTGCATTTTTAAATGTTGTTGTGCTGAAAAAGATCACACACAACCAGGGATCTGCATACTCACATTTGCCTTCATTTTGTAGGCATTTTCTCACTCTACCTGGGTATCAATTTTCTGTCATCTCCAGATCCTCATGTCCTGCAGTTTAATTTGAAAAATGTAATTTCTTCAGACAATCCAAGAATGAAATGTTATCACAATTAGAAAGCCGTGGTACTTAGTATTGAATTTTAAATCAGAGATGTAACTAGCAAGAAGCATTCGGGGTATATACAATTAATTATTTCACACATAATTATTCCTGATATTACTCTAACCGTGATAACTTAAAGCATTTGAAAAAGCAGACTGCAATATTCTTCTTTTTTTTTCACAGAAGCTCTTTCCCTTGATATTCTTTTGCTAAATAATATGTAAAATACTGACACCTAATGTTAACTTCCAGTATTATTCATTTTGCAAAACTTTTGCTTGAGGTAGAGAAAGACCATGTGAAACTGCTGCTTATGCTGCAATTTTGTTTCAGTAAAATGAATAAACTGCAATACAGGCTTCCCTCACTTTTTGGAAATAATTTTCTGAATTTATTTATATATATATATGCCTATAAATGCAAGGAGCTTTCAGTTTTATTATCACAAGTCAAAAAGATAATAACTCAAAATAGTTGAAATAAGTGAGTTTTGATGCACTGAATTTAATCAAGTCCATCAAATGGAACACAAATACATATTTGTAAAGTCAATATTTGTACCTGTAGCCTGAAATGACACTAAAAGATAAAATATTATCAAATATTTTATTATTAATCTGTTAGTCTTTGAAACCTGAACTGCATATATTCAGTACTTACCTACTATGTGATTCACCTTCCTCTGAGACACAAGATATTATTTTCACAGAGTGTGAATCAAAGGCGGATCTCAAACTTCTCAAAATTCACTGTTTATCTCCCCAGAACTGCAAAGACAGCTTGTCCAAACCTGAGGTCTAGATGCTATTTAGAAAGAGATTTTGGAGTTCTTACTCCTCTGGGGTTTGAGATGATATTAGAATAAGATATTTTACAATATGATCTACATCCATACCTGAATTTAGGCTTGCCTAACTTTAATGGGAAGATGTTAGAGTGAGCTTGCATTTGCACACAAGTGCTGCAAAGGCACTGACGCTGAGTTCAACCCCTTTTCAACACTGTGGACCTGCACACTTTTATATTCAGTGCTTTTTGCATCAACTGTCACTTTATGGAAAACGGCCCTTCTCTGATACCAGATGAAGTAGCTGAGCTGCAGGTGCAAGGACAAAAATAACCCCACAAAAACACAAATACCTGGCCTGCAACAGGATCCAGCTCAGCTGAACCGAGGAGAGATGACGTCAGTGCAATCAAAACCTCTTGAGTGAGACAAAGCTTTCCAACTGATTAAAACTCCTGTGCTATTCTTTATAACAATATTCTGGTTAAAGGAGCTCTTCTTTCTCTTCACAAGCGCTAAAAATACCAACAAATGCTGTATTTGCAGTTCTTTCAGCTTTACCCTGCATATTACAACTAATAAAATAGGCATCAGTGCAGCAAGGGTTTTAACACTACACATCTTTGGGGAATTTTAGAGATCAGGTAGGTGCTGTGCAGGCCCTTGGGTTTCCCTGTGCTGCAGGACGTGCTCAAAGGGTGTGAAAGTTTCAACCAGACAAAGCAGCTCCAAGAGAAACCAGAGAAGACCTCACTCTCCTAAAATCCTTCCCCACTTGATAAGTAGAATAAAAAGTAACACAGAATCAGAGCAGTTTGGGTTGGAATGGACCTTTTAAAGGGTCCCCCTGCCATGTCAGGGACACCCAGAGCAGGCTGTCCATCCAACCTGGCCTTGAATGTTTCCAGGGATGCACCCATCACCTCCCTGTTTCGCTGTAAAAAGCTCATTTCTTATTTCTATCCTAAATCCACCCTCCTCCAGTTTAAAACCACCCCCCTTGTTCTACCACACCAGTGTGTCCCTGTCTTTATTACAGGCTCCCTTCACATATTCAAAGCACTACTGGATGTAATTTTCTGAGTGTTTCATACCAAAAATGAGACACATTGAGCATCATCAGAGAGGCAGTTTCAGCTGATTCTTGGAAAACGCTGCGTGAATAGCTGCAGACTTTAGGGCTTAATTGCCAATTATGCCAAGGTGTTATTTATGCCTTAAAACAACTTTGGATAAAGAGTTGCTGAAATGTAAGCAGTTTTTCTACGTTGCTCTTGCCTGCCTGGTGCAAATCTCTGTAAAAATTCGGGCCACACGGTGAGCTAACAATGAGATGTTTTGCTGCTGCTTAAAGAGCTCAGGGTTCATTTTGCCTAATCCCAACTAAGCCTCACTAAAGCTGCAGGGAGTGCTCCTACAGCCCTTCACGCTGCCTTACACGGGTCTACAACTCCACTCAGCTTCCTCCAGCTCCTCCTCTCCAACAGGACTACCTAGAGAAGATAAAGTGGTTTGTTTTGGCCAACTGTATCACACCAAAGAAGGTATCTGCCATGGAAATTCGTTCTTCAATTAAATCATCCATTAAAGCAAAATTTCAAAATATTGGGCCCTTTGAAAAACTCGGTGTGCAGCAGTCAGGAGTTTTGAAACAATTGTTCAACTTTTACTTTTCAAATATACCCTGTGCTTTAAATAGAATTACTAAATTAAAAATGTAAATTGGACTGTATCTTTTAACAGTTGGTGATTTGTCTATTTTTCACATTTTATTATGCATAATTTTTATAATAAAGAAGGGATTTTTTTTCATCCCTGTTCTAGTTGATAGCAATTTTTCCATGCTTCTCAAGGCTAATGTAATAAAACTACATAAAATGTTTAAGAAGAGCCCCATTAAAATATACAAAGCATACTAATTCATGAAGTCAAAGTCAAAGCAGAGTGGAAATATGAGCTTTAATAAAACTATGTCTGTTGTAAATAACTATTCAAGCACAGTCATTTTTTTGCAAATTGCATGGGGTATAGCTCGGTCTACTCAAAGCAAAGAATCACTCAGCAGGATAAATGCATCTTAGTCAGAAATAGATTAAAAGGTACAGCTGAGCCATCAATAAGAACCAGATAGCACAGTATTATTTGCTGTTTGTTTTGAAGATGTAATTGCAGATCCCAGGATTTCAATAAATCTGTGCACATCAAGGAAGGAATTGTAGAGAGGAACTGGGGCAACGCGAAGAGCGTTTGGTTCTCGCATGTCACACTGCAAAACAGAGAGGGAACATTCAGTAAATTCAGGTCACTTCTTGTCTGTCAGGCTGTATTTTTTACATGCCACAACTTGTCTTCAAGGAAGAATGACTGGACTGACAAGGACCACATGTAAAACCTTTGGGATTTACATGTGAGGAGCACGATTGTGAAAAATTTAGTAAGAAGAGTAGTTTTGCCTAAAAAATGATGCAAAGCTCAGGATGGGCAGGACTTTAGCAGTGCCATTGAGGGCTTCAAACCAGCCATGTAGCCCCAAAATCCACTTTAATGCCTACAGCAACCCAGAGTTGAAGAGGCACAGAGGTGACAAAAAAAAAAAAAAGCACAAAGCCCCCCATTCCAGTATGTGAGTGTCTTGTTCCAAAGATACAGGTAATGGCACAGGCATTGCAGTATTTTTCTTCCCCTCACTGTGATTTGAACATGTTCCTGAATATAATAATCTCTTATATTTGAAAAATATCACTGCATTGCAAAGACAAGCCAACTGTGGGAGGCCCCATGCCCTGTTAAAAGCAGGAGTTCCTGGAATTCCCTGGCAGCACCAAAGCAGCAGCATACATAACCTAAAAGAGGTGCCCTCTGGGGAGACAAGTGACCAGCAGAAATAAAACTGATATCTCATTTATATGGCATTATGCTATCAGCCTCACCTCCCAGCACATCTAAATCACCCAATGTACGGCCCTAAATTTCACTTTTATTCTTTTGGAGCAGTGCTCGATGGAAACTGTGCCATTACAAGGAAGTGGCTCCTTTTTCTGAGTGCTAAAACACATCTCTAGGGAAATGGCAGCTTTTCCATTGCTCCATCTCGATGTCTCACAAAGCTTTTGGCCACTTGTGGATCAAGAAAGGGACTGATGTAGGTTCAGAGTTCCTTGTCATGTAAATCTGTAGCTGTGCCTCCCATCCTAATGTACCCATGATCCAGCTCTAACCCCAGCAGTGACTCCAGAACTACTGGAAATAGGTCAACAGTGAAAGGGCAATACAGCAACAAATAATACAACAAATAATTTATAAAATAACTCTATGTATTTGACTGCTTGCACAAGTAAAAATTGAAATTGTAAGAAATCGTCAACAGTCCTAGTGGGTTTTTGCCTTATATGACACTACATTTGAATAAAAGCAAATTAATAGTTTGTTACTTGTTAAGATGAAGTTTGATTTACTTACAGCCACTCCTCTCTTCTCCAGCTCTTTAAACACAGATTTGATTGGAAGGGAAAACGACAGAGTGAGCTGGCATCCTCTCTCCTCAATCTGAGATGGTGTGATTATTCTTACGAAGGGCTTCTCTGGATTTGTTTTGTCCTCACTGTAGTAATGCTTTATCAGGTATTCCAGGTAACCAGTGAGTAGAACAGATTTCCTCCTCAAGGCTTTCATTGTAGTTTGGCTAAAAACCTGTGATGATTTGAAATCATTAGAATGAGAATGTGTTGCTGTAGAAAATGAAAAGGAAATAAAGATTTCTCTATACATTATCACTGGAATCAAGTAGTAACACCAGAGAGACATTTTACATAAACATGGCAGGATTGGGCTTTGGAAAACACAGGATAATGTTATGCTTTAGATAATGACAGATATTTGTGCTTACTGTTTAGAAGTTTCATACACATCTGTGTCTGCAGAAATAACTTGCACACAAAGCCAGTTTGCTCAGAGAGCATTCCTCTGCATGTCTAAAGAGAATCCATAAATCCTCTGTAGGTGCAACAGTGCTGAATGAAACTCAAAATCACATGGAAGTTTTCTCTTGCATGTACCTTTAATACACACCTTCTCACTCCCTACAGCCCCCTGAAAGGAGGGTGTAGCCAGGTGGGGCTTGGTCTCCTCTCCCAGGAAACAACTGATAATAGGAAAAGAGGGAGCAGCCTCAAGTGGCACCAGGACAGGCTTAGTTTGGATATTAGGAAGAATTTCTTAACAAAAAGTGTGGTCAAGCACTGGAACAGGCTGTCCATGGCAGGAATCACTGTCTCTGGAAGTGTTCCAAACCACGTAGGTGTGGCAGCACTTGAGGACATGGTTTGGTGGTGGGCCTGGCAGGGCTGGTTTAATGGTTGGACACAAAGATCTCAGAGGTCTTTTCCAAACTAAATGATTCTACTAACCAAATCCAAGGGCCAAGACTGAAACATCAAATCATGACTGGTGTAGAAATTCTTGTCTGTGAAAGCACAAAATGTATACTAACATTGACTTTATATACATATACACTAAGATTGGCTTTTGACTTTAAGTCCTGTGCAGGCTCGCTCTCTCTGGTCCACATGAAGAAAAAAAGCACATTCACTGCCTTATTTTTCAATAGCTCTGTGCTCCTGCACAGCTACAAGAACCAGTGAGTTTCAGACTCTCAAAATATCATGAGATATGCAAAAAATGACTGCTTGAAAATGGCAGTGCTCTTTGGCCACACAAACAAGACCAATGTGGTAAAGGAGTTTTGGGAGCAGAAGGTGAGACAGCTCCTGCTTTTGCTCTGGAAAGGCTCCATTACAGGGAGTGATGGGGATGCAACCCCAGAAACAATTTACCCCTGCCTTCCTCAAACCTCCCTTTCCTTCTCCCCATGGAATTAGCTGCAGGGGAAAATGACAAGGATGCAAACATGCAAGTGCCCAAGAGCCACTTCAAATCACATCCTGGCACATCAATGCTCGTGGACAGCTCTCTCTCCACTGACTGCAGCTGCAAATCAGAGGCAAGGCAGTGCCCTGGATGAAAATCCATGATCTTCACTCTCAAGAAATCACTGTTCCACACTAGAGAAGTAACAATTTTAAGATTACTTCTATCATAACCTGGAAAAGGATAAAGAGAGGTACCTGAGAAATCCTACTCAAAATATACCAAAGTCTGGTTTCCAGCAGCATCTGGAAATCATTGTTTTATAGAACATCCCAAATCTCACTCCTTGATGCTATCACAGCCACTAGATGCTGCACAAAACCAAGAACCCCTGCATTTTGTGCTTGTGAAATGGAACGTGGATGCTGTAAGACAGACTCTGCAAGGGAATAAATGTGACAGGGACCAGAGCCACCAGCAGTCAGCAGTTGCACAGGTCAACAAAAATCTAGAGGTGCTTCCCTGTCCACCCAGGCAGGCAGAGCAGACACAGGACTGTTCAGTGCATTTCTAGAGGGAAAACAGGCCTGCCTCCTATTCCTCCAGGATTTGCAGGAGTATGAGGGATGGATCTCCTTAGGCTGCATGCAAAAATCTGCTTCCACAGGCTTTGTGCAAGGAATACTTGGGCTCCTGGGTGAAATTTTTTGAAAAAGGTCTTTAAAATGTGTCTGTAGAGCGCTCCCCTTTTTTCCATAAAAGGCAGCAGCTAGTGCCATAACAGTCACTTTAAGCATTATTGAGGAATAACATCCATTAACACTTGCAGTTTTCATTGTTTCCATTGGAAACACTGCCTTCTGCTTAATGTGTCCCAGTGAAGGTGGCATGCAATTTCACTAGCCATCTCTTGCCAGACATGAAAACTACTTTGTTTCCCACTGTATTAGAGCAATTAGCACTGGGAAATCCTGGCTGTGCCAAAAGGTAATGTGGGCAGGGAAAGGGGAGGCAGTGGAAACTGCTCAGGCCTCATTGTTCCAGGCTCCCTGCAGTGGGCTAAATGACACCAGCCCACACAAACCCGAGCACTCACAATCTGGGTCATGGCAGAACAGCTTTCAGCTTATCTCAAAGGTCACATAAAGTTTAAAACAATATAGTGGATGTTTAAGGACTAAAAAAAAATTAAATTGTCAGGCGGAACAAGAAGCATGGCTGTGCCCTTTGCAGTCCTTCAGTGTTGCATGTTAGATGGAGAGATCATAACTGGCAATTTTCTGATTTTGTTTGCTTAAGATGCTGTTTTTTCAGTAAATACAGAAGAGCGATGTGGACCCTGCTCTTTGTTCCAGCATCAGCTCAGCCATTCCACTAGAATTAATGGAATGCTAACCAGAAATAAATGTCTGCCATTTGTGCTGGTGGCAAAACCTTGCTACTCAAGGCTGCCTTGAAAACCAGCTGAAGGCTGATTTTATAGTAGACTTTATTGCATACAGCAGGTAAATCTGAGTAACACCAGCTTTTTGAGCCACAGAGACTGAGAGTCCTGTTTCAGAGGTTAACCATCCTAAAGGGAAATGCTGAATCATCTTGATATGAAACACAGGTGTTTGGGGAACAGCTCCATGCCCTCAGACAGGGGTGGGCTGTGCTCTCCAAAGCAGATCAGAGGCTTTCAGCACATGGATCACACCTTCAGAGGTGGAATTAGCTCTGCATGGCAGGATTACCCTTCCCACAGCCACAGTGTCAGTGATTCACACAGAGATAGATAGATGATAGATAGATAGATAGATAGATAGATAGACAGACAGACAGACAGACAGACAGATAGATAGATAGATAGAGATGGGGCTCTGCTCCTTTGACCACTAGAAAACTAATGATTCAATGAAAGAAAAGACAGCTTGGAGTTATGCCACACTCATGGATTCCCTCTTTAGGAAACATTTGCTGATAGTTTGGGTCTCTTCTGCTTGTAACCAAAGGCAGGACAGGTTCCTTGAGTCACTGGGTCATCTGATCAGTGCTGATCCAGTACAGCCAGGACACCTAATTTTCTTTCATAATGGATATAAGTCTGCTTTGCTGGTGGAATATATGAAGCAGCAGCTCTGAATGCAACTTCTCAGACTTACATGATTCCTTTGCAGGAAGATGCTGAGCATAATCCTTCCCACGAGCAGTACTGAGACAAGGCACTGTTGGACTTGGTGACCTCGGAGATCTCTAATTATTCTGTGATTTTGAGCCCTGAATATTTCTATGGGATAAAGGTGCTGTTTGTACTGAGCTCCTAAAAGCAGGGACAAACACACTGCCAGAGTTCAGATTTGGAGGTGCAAAACTCAAATACTGCTGGTCCAACTCAGGGTTCTCCAGCAGAGTTTGTGAGAGACATGGGGAGATGAGCATATTCATTAAAGGCGTTGGTCTCTCAGGGCTGTGGGGTTATTTTGTTTGCTTTTCATTACTTCACCCCTTCCATGTTCAAATATTTCACAGTTTTCTTTAAGGAAGACAGCAATAACACATGTAGCATTCATTAAACATTTTTGTACTCTTAAATTCAGGCTCAAAGTGAAGCAATTACTTACCTCTAAACTGGCATGCAGAGCACAGACCAGTAAAATTGGAGGATTTGATAACCGGAATCCATTAATTCCTTCACTTAGTTGTAATTCTGGAAAATGAATAACTTATATTAGTGTTTTTGATTTCTTCATTTTAATGGATTGGACCTTATCTTGAAGTCTGTCCTCACGCAGTAAAATATTTCCCTAATGTGGCCCGTAGGAATCGGCCATTAAAAGGAAATAGTAATCTATTCCCAGCTAATACTTTCAACTTCGAGAGAAGCCCAATTTTATCCAGCAGAAGACCTCATTAGCAGCTTCATGGGAACCAGAGGACTGCAATTAATTTGTTTAAATGGTGTGTGGTAAAACCACCTTTACACTTGAATCTCTTTTAAGGCTGGCACGAGGCAGAGGAATTCCAAGTCAGCAGAGGCACGCTCACGCGGAGCAAGGAATCACGTTCCTTCACTTTATTGAGCTGATGAGACACATGGGAGGCTGCATATGCAGCTAAGTGTAGCTTCAGGCCAAGGAGAGGAGCTGCCTAGACTTTGGGCTGTGAAATTTCACGAAATCTATTTAATAAATCTACAAAAGCCTCGCTGTAAGTTCTGTGTCACCGTTGATATTTCACGCTCCAGCGCCAGAGCGGGAGGGCGCGGCGGAGGAAATGCTTTTCACGCACAGCAGACTGGCTAATTTTATAATGCCCAACTTCTCCCCTGTAAACTGCTCATGGAAATGAATAAACAACGTTTTTTTTCTTCTTCTAGCAGTATTTCAAGGCAATTTGTATCTCCTGCTGGCTTTCCATAGTGCCACTCTCTTGCATTTGGTCTGAAAACAAAGAGCAGACTGAGGCTATTAGAGAGGTGCTCTCCAGCCAAAGCCACATCAACAGGCGCTGCCACAGAAAATTAAAAATATATTAAAAACAAAACAACCAATCAAACCAAAAAGCACCTTTCTCATCCTGATCCCCCAGGATATTCTCTCTGCCATAGCTGAAACTGGAGCTGAGCAGTCTAGCTGTCAGATTTGGAAAGGAGTTCTCATTTTGTGTTGGGACAATAAACGCTATTTCAGAGCAGGTTTGTCTTATAACCCATCCCTCCCTAGTGCAGAAAATTTGGAGATGCTGAAACATTAGTGGGATTTCATGACTTTTGTCAGGTTGCCTTACCTGAATTTGTTAAATTTCTCATTAATTCCAGTGGAACTAATCCTGAAGAAAAATATTAGCCCAGTGACTGATAGCAGATCCTTGCTCCTCAGAGACTTATGAATTTAATTCACTGAGATACTTTGAAAGTTTCATCCATATTCTATATCTGCTTTTTGAAGGTATTTCAGCAAAATGTCTAGGAGCAGACAGTCAAACCCTTATGCCCACACACAAATTTATTCCAACATTTATTTTGTTAACTCTACTGCCTCACATATTGAGGATGAGGAAATGTAAAGTTTCTCCTCAAACTGCAACAGAACTGAAGCTGGTTATATATAAATAAATCAAATGAGGTAAAATTGAGAGTGTATAAATACATACTGTTTTCCATGAGGAATCTTGTTTTGAAGTCATGGCCCCACCACCCGATTAGCCTAAAATTTTTTAAAGAAAATAAATTAATAGAAATCTTAATATCTTTCAATTTAGCTTTGAGTGTTAAGAATTATATAATATTGAGCAATATATAAATTTCTAATAATACATTTTATTTCTAACAATGACATAAAAATGAAATAAATTCTATAAAGAGTTAGCACTAAAAATTTAACATTACAATTTGAGAATTTCTCTTTTACTGCAAATAATAAAACACATCACATCTTTCAATTAACTATTGATTTTAACAATATCCATTTTCTCTGAATTCACTTCACAAAACAAAAAATAGTACAGAAATATTTCCACTGGTTCCAAGGCATTAAATTCAAAACACTCTCTCCTGCTCTTAAACTTAGTTTAATGAATATTGAAAGCTAGAAGGAGTTATAAAATCTGACTTAGTTTCACCAAGAAAAGGACTTTTTGGTGAGCAACAAGCAAATAAGACCTTGGAAAGGTCTTGTGGACATTGCCTCATCCTTACTGTGAGATCACTGTTAATTCTGCATACACTTATTTTCCTGAACTAAACTTATTCTGCAAAAAACTTTCTTTAAAATAAAAACCAAACCAGTTTAATACTATATTCCCTTTTTAAAGATCATCTCCTGAAAAAAAAAAAAAAAAAAACAAAACAAACAAACATACAATTATTTAAAAAAATAATATGCCTGAGCTTGGATGTTAAAATGACATTACATTATTAACTCATATTTAATGGAAAGTATGTGTGAGGGCATTGCTACAAGCAGTTTTCTAAAGCAGCTGGATGCACTGGATCACCTAATGCCAGGGCACTGCAAATAAAACCAATATTGCAAAATCAGGGACTTTTTCCCTGCCTCCCTTGGGTTCTCCACTTCTTATCTCAGCACACAGTGATATCAGTGATTAATAATGCCAGTCCCACTTGAGATTGCCCTGTATTAATGCTTTTACAATATCAAGAAGTCCCCATCACAGACTCCTTCCTGAACTTCTCAGCTCTCCAGAAGTGGACATGTTGGACACCATTTCTGCCAAGGCTTTGCTCAGTTTTACCTATGCCAGATAGCAAAATTTTAGGAGTGAAGCCCTGGCAAAACTTGTAATGATAAAAATAATCTGTATGTAAAGGTCACAGTAGATCAGCCTTCCTGGAAGCAAACAGGGAAAAGAAAGTCATGGCCCCTCCCTAAAGGAGCATTCTGCAGTTTGCCTAAAAGAGCTGAGCTCTGCAGAATTAAGACCACATTTGAGTTAGAAACTTGTTATATGAATACTGCAGAGTGTGAAATAAAGTAGTTCATATTACTGTATAACAACACAGGTTTTATGTTTACTTCTGTGAGCTGCATCTAAACAGAGGCTCTACAGAAAAGGATGTTTTTTTCTTTATTGCTGCATGATGTTTTTATTATTCTGAGACCCATGAAAATTAATAGTGCAATATACATCCATTTTAAATGAGATATTACATTGCCAAAATGAATACACCCCAAATAAAGTACAACAGAGCCTCTGCCCAAGTGACTGTGTTACTGATGCTTTGAATCATAAAAGATATTTCAGTTATTTTATAGGAACTCTATAATACATAGATAACATTGCACTGAAAACCCTGAATATTGCATGTTCCTGCAACAATCTCCTGATATCAGTGTCTACACACATTCTATGAATTTCAAAGGTTTGAAGCAGAAAATAAATTCAAAAGGAAATAAAACATCTGGACAAATAGTCTGTGAAAAGGAAAAAACAATACTATGTTCCACTTGGACCACACCCAGACAGCAAAGACAAAATAAAGATCAATCAGACCATTATCCAGATAAGGGCTGATGAAAAGCTCCCTGGTTGCACTTCAAATGCTCAAAACTCACTAATTCTGAAGTTGGCTTCAACCCAGATCTCAGCTGCAGCACCATGGAGGCAACTTGGAAAGTGAAATTTCAAAACTTTTCCAAAATGACAGAATGAAGGATTTTTTTTAAAGACAGTTTTAGCTGTCTTGCCCTTTCCTACCATAATCTGACAATTTGCTTTTCCTCTTTTTTATTTTTTCTCTTTTGGCTGTTCTAGAACTTCAGAGGTGTCACTGCAGGATGTGCACTTTGAGGCAGCTCTGGTCCTACACTCTCATTGATCTAATGGTCCATATGGATGTCATGTTATTTGACATTTAAGTTGACAGGCTTCAAAGCGTGGAAATTAACAAAATCTTCACAAATTATAGCGATTTGCTGTTTACAATTTTCTGTGAAAATTTTGAAATGAAGGTTGCCACCGCTATGCCAAATTTCAACCTGTTGTGATGGGAGAGAGCTAAGGTGTTAAACCCCAAACATAACACTTTATAAGTGCTCACTAAAAATAATAGGCAATAAAACTGCACATTAACTTACTGCAGTAAAATTTCTTATTAAAGAGTTGTTACTCTGCATGCAAAGTGAGCATTTTGAACTGCAGTCGCCATTTCAACTGTTCCTGCCTCAAAAACAAAGGCACCAAGATCTAAATAGATTCTGAATTCCAACCCATTATTTTTGGCAAAATACATAAAGTGGAAGGCTCTGAAAAGCAATATATGATGTGCTTGTGATTAAAAACACCTTAAACATGTTAGCAATGGGACTGTCATGCTTCCCATGGCAGATAAAACCCATTGTAGGAAGTGTGTTAAAATCAGCATCTAAGGAGATAAAGGTCTAATTTAGCAAATGTTCCACTACAAATTAAAAAATGCAAATTTATCCAAACTGAGCCCTTGTTTTAACACATCACTAATGGAAATAGTTATCCCAGTGATGGATAGGTTTTGGTTGCAGCTCCCTGCTGCCAGTCCCCCCAGCAGCCTCCCAAGGCTGGTCAGCAGAGATGCTCCTGGAACCCCTCCACAGAGAACATCTCTCCACCCTGGAGCAAAAGCATACTTGAAATATTGAAATCCATTGAGAAATCATGCCTAAAATGAGAGTAAACTAGTGCCAAACTAGCTGTGTCTTTTTCTGCAAGGTGAACATGCTCTTAAAAGCCCACTTCTGTTAGAAAACAACCTTTCAAATGGATTGTTCCATTCTGTGCCTCAAATAAAACCATTGCCATCATAGAATGCCTTGGGTTGGAAGGCACCTTGAAAAGCATCTCTTTCCAACCCCTGCCAGGGGCAGGGACACCTTCCACTGGACCAGGTTGCTGAAGGACCCATCCAGCCTTGTCTAGGTCCTCACAGTTTGATACTGAGACCTTCCCAGGGAATTCTGCCACTTCCAGTCTTTGCACAGAAATTTGGCATGTGCCACATAATATTTAAAGCTAACTGTTATTAGCTTGGCTTCATGAAACAAGTAAGAATATAATTAAATATTGCTGAAAGATTTTCAAATTCCTTTTTTTTATTATTCCAAAATGTTCTCTTGTTTTACAAATCAATAAACAAAGGTTTCCTGGGCTGGAAAATGACTACAGAAAGGAACAGTATCCTCTTGTTTAGTCATATTCTCTTTAAGGACATTTACACCAGGGAACAATCCCTCCAATAAGTATTTTTATTTAGCTCATTTTCCTCCTTCATATCTGTCTGCATTAGACTGAAGCACTGGTTGTTCATAGCTTGAGTCTTCTCATTTGTAGTTGTATTAATGATGCAGGAGTGCAGGATATAATGATCATGATGTATGTGCAGTGTAAACATCAAAGAAGATCCAGTTAAAGAACACAGAAAAAATACAAAAAAAAATTCCTCTGACCTTTGCTTTGGCATTACAGATGATCATGCTACTCATTTATAATTTAGAGCCTGGAGCAACACGGGTCTCATTTCCCTTCTCAGCAAGAAAAAGAGACAGAAAACAGGGAAAATGCCATTAATGTGGCCCAGCTTTTACAGTCCAGGGCAATGTGTTGAAGTATCCTGTCATTATATTGTGTGAGATAATCATTTCACATCCAGAGGAAGGCAAGCTGAAAAGCTACAGGAATACAGTGTGAAATTTGTAATACTTGATTTTACATCTTCCAGCTTCCCTGGGCATGGAGCAGTTTGTTTCCTCTCCCTTTTCAGGTCACAAAGCGAGCTGCAAATTTCATAGTCATTATTTAGATTATATTAGGAGCATATACCAGCAAAGCATGTTATGTTTATGAAAGGATGGATTAAGCCAAATCATAAACAGGCAGTTTGGGGCCAGGCTGTGTCCACAAAGGACCTGATGTAAGTGCTGGGTGGCAGCTAAGCTCTTCATTCACACATTGCTTTAATTTTGCAAAAGCATCCAGGTGTTGGCAAAGATTTGTTTGATTTTTTCATGCTACTGTTCCAGCCATGAGGAAGAATCAGCTCTGAGGAGTTAATGAGACTTGTCACTGCTCCCAAAGTTCATTACACAGAGCCAGGCAGATCCTATGCTACATCTGCAAAGGCAGCCTTGTGCAGGGAAAAGAATGAAAGGGGCAGAAATAATCATTAAGTTCATTTCTTGCAGTCCCATATGTCCATGGCACAGCTGCTGGTTGAGGAGCACATCCATGTCTCAAGGCACCCTGAAGACCTAAGATGGGCAAGCAACAGACACTGTCACACAGGCTTAGAGGAAAGAGGTTAATTGTGACTTCAATATCACTCTCTTAGCAGGAAATGTGTGACAAAAACACCCATGAGGCCTTAAAAATTAAACTGCAAAAGGGCACAGAAAGCCTGGAGGCTGGAGCCAGCCTGGAGCCAGGAACAATCCACATCTGACCATGCTGGACCACCATCCTTCTGCCTAGGAGAACGTGATGGTACCAAAGACCAAGCTTTCATATTTCAAATTCCAGGATTAAAAAACCCAAACCAAGCTAATTAATTAAAACCCCAAACCAACAAATGGTAGAATCAGCTCCTCAAACCCAAAAACATATCCATATATGAATCTCCAACTCAACTGAAAGGTTATTCCCATATTCTGAGTCTGAGGTGCTGAAATTCTTCCAGTTTCCTGGGCTCCATGTAATGCAATAGAGATAGAAAATG